GCTATCTAAAAAGTCTGAATAATGGATTAATTAATGGCCACAACACTTATCTATATCTGTGATAAAGAATTAACACATTGCTGTCTAGAGTCACAGAAAAGCTGGGAGGACACAGATTCATCTCCATCTGCGGCGAGATACACTCCAAGTAGGAGGTTTTGAGTGTAGTTAGCCTGAAAGTGCCAGCGCGGGTACTCTGGGCCCCAAGTTAGTCCTCTGTGTGTTTGAGCATCGAGCACACCTATATTCCACTTTATTCCCGTGCACTTTGTGTCTCCCTTTCTGGTTTGAAGCAGCCTCCATCCCTAACCTGTTTTAGAGAACAGGCCAAATAAGCCATATCTGGCTTAATAAAGTCTGTAGGCAATTAAATGCACCTGGTTCTCTTGGAGAATGAAAATTGTTTGCTCATTAGGAAGGAGAATCAATAATTTGAGAACAAAATTGCATACTGTGCACTGCCTTTACAGCCTTCTTTTAAAAATCAAAGTATTTCTGCTAGTTCTTGGCAGGTAAGTTGCTCCCTGCTCATGGTATCAACCAGGGCTCCACAACAGCGTCCCCAGGTGCTCGTTAGCTCAGGGATTGCTGAATCCCAGCCCCAGGCGGTGTGACTCCGCAGATTTGGAGAAAGGCTTAAGACGTGTTTTCAGTGATGTGCGTGCGTGCTGCTGATCTGGGGTCACACTTTGAGAAGGCCTGGTGTTAGCAAACCATAGCCTGGCTGGGCATCTCTAGGCCCTGCCGTGGAATTCCATCCTCCCAAGGAATGTTCTGTGCTGCTTTCAGTATCTGGAAATAGATCTCTAGTTCTGTGGCCATCTCGAAGCTGTCATGCTGGTGGCAGTGGTGGGAACACTCTGAAGTTGGGATCTCATTCTGCTGGACTGACGGTTCTGAAGCCCGGAGATTCTTTCGGGTTTCACACAAGGGGACGGAAGCCCAAGAACTTGGACCCTCCTCCACTGCTTTCCCAGGTGCATCAACAGGGAGTTGGATCTAAGTGGGATGCTGGGACTCAAACCAGCTACCCCTATGGGATGCTAATGGCGTTTCACCTGTTACCTCACAGTGCCGGCCCCAGCGTGGCTTTTTCTTTCTTTCTGTCCTCTTCCTCCATTCCCCTGAAACAAACAGATCCCTCCCATTTTCTCCTGGTGCTTGATGTCATACGTTTTCAATCTTGACCACTCTTTGAAGGACACTGATCAAAACTCTAAGCCAATAACGTACATTATTTCAAAGGAACTTTAAGTTAAAAGTGGTGATTTAAGATCGTCACAGGGCAGGCCCAGCGCAATAGCGTGGTTAAAGTTCTCCCCTTGAACATGCTCGGATCCCATATAGGTACTAATCCCGGCAGCCCGCTTCCCCTCCAGCTCCCTGCTTGTGGCCTGGAAAGCAGTGGAGGACGGCCCGAAGCGTTGGGACCCTGCACCTGCTTAGGAGACCCAGAGGAATTTCCTGGCTGCTGGCTTCGGATTGGCTCAGCTCCAGCCGTTGTGGCTGCTTAGGGAGTGAACCATGTGACGGAAGATCTTCCTCTCTGCATATCTCTCTTTCCAATAAAAATAAACAAATCTTAAAAAAAAATCAAAATTTATATTAAAAAGTCACAGGGCATTCTATTTGCTTTTAATTTTATATTTCCCGACAGAAAGACTCCTCATTTGAGGTTTTTGTTGTCAAATGCTACATACACCAGTTTACTAAATTTATGCAAATACAGTGATGTCTTGCTCAATTTTGAAATCCATTTCCAGTGTTTTGGTTCTCTACATGTAATTCACGATGTATCCACAGGGGGGCAGGAGATACCACACTGCACTGGTGTCTGAAGTTACACCTACTTGGGTGGTTGAAAACTCTCTCCAGGAAAAGAATTCTTAGTCCATTCTACAGTCCAGTCATTCTCAACTTCCCTCCAGGAAGTTTTACTCTTCTTAAACGTTCTTCTAAGTAAAAGATACTAAAGAAGTTAATACTAGACTGAAAACCTAAAATCTGAAGCAATGTTTCAAAGACTTATGATCTTGTGTGTTCTAAAAGCAGATTTCAACTTGTTTATTCTTTGTGGCTTTACCAAACACACACACCGCAAAGGTCTTAGTTTGGGATTCTTAATATTGAGATGGGGTCTAATTTAAAGCACACACTTTATACCCTCCTACGCATCATTGGGCTATTTATTTATTTATTTTTCTCATATAGGGAATGTATTGGCTTAGGAGCGCAAGTAAGTCCTGGTCCTTAGTCCTGGCTGCGTTTTTAACAAGCCTGAGAAGGTTCGGGGGCTCCCTTCCACTGGGTTTATACCTCTATTTCCTCCAATGCAATTTCATGACAAGAGCATCCAGAACTTTCCTCAGGAGGACCTGGGGCTGGCAGCCAGGAGGGAGGGTGGTGTCTACACAGGATGGCCCTGAAGGACAGCCGACCCCTTCTTGGTAGTCTCTGTCCCTGGGTCCCCCGACGCAGGCCACTGCAGGTCATCCCCAGCCAGAGCAAGGCTGCTTCCTGTTTACCTGCAGTAGATGACAGTGCTGTGATGGAAGGCAAACAAGCAGGGCTGCTGGGGGGGAGAGCGGGAAACGGGCGTCCTGGATGGACAGAGGATCCGAAACTATGAATCATCACTAACCAGACACCACGCTGATAAAATTAAAATACTGATAACACCAGCCACAAGTGCTCATTTCCCCCGAGGGAAGGGACGGGCACAGAACTCCCGGGAGTGGGACAGGCCTCCCAGGACTGATTCTGGACCTGTGGACGTGCGCAGTCAGGTGCACCGCAGGTCAGCTCAGACTGTGTGTGTCCCGTGGCTGGCAGGTGCACAGAGAGGCAGACGCTGGCCAGGAAGAAAATGCGGCGTTGGGGGTGTGTGGCTTCTCAGAGGAGTGGGGAAGGCCAATAGACAAGGGGCAGTAGGAGACGGAGGACAGACAGCAAAGTTGGCAGTAAAAACGTGAAAGTGACAAGCAGGCAAGGTAGCCTGTATCCCCCTGGGTTGCCACACTCTGAACGGGACATATGCATAAATCCTAAAGGAGGAATGTCAGGGAGTCCCCTTGGGCAGGCATCGTGATTTCCTGTAGAGGCTACACTGCGGGCAGACAGTCTTTCTTTCTGTTCCATTTCCCTTCACGCAGTGGAGCACAGAGAAAGAAAGGAAGGAAGAGTTATAATAAAAACCTTCCAGTCTGAGGATGCAGAACCCGGAACAACCCTGAAACCAAAACCAGGGTGTGTCAGCAGGGTTGAGAAATGGGCCAGATGAGTGAATCCACGGGGCATGGAGAGCGTAGCCAGGCTCAGTAGCCCAGCGGTGAAGGGGTGAGCAGGCCAGGCTGCAGCAGTGCGACCTTGGACCTCCGATGGCCCCCGGTGCAGCTGGATCACTCAGCACTTGTCTCAGGTTTGTCATGAAGATAAAATGAAAATGTGTCACACTGGCCCACACCCAGGTCCTCGGTGGTGGTGGTAGTGGTGTGTGTGTGTGTGTGTGTGTGTGTGTGTGTGTTGGGGAGCGTTTTCCCTGTCTGGGATAGAGGTCTCAGCCATCCCTGTCTGCCAGTCCTCGCGGTGAGTGGCCTTGGGAAAGGCACTTCTCCCCTTTGTGTCTTTATCGGTGACAAGAGGCACGTGCCAACCTCACAGAGTAGAGGCATTTCCCGAGGAGGGTGCGCAGGGGAGCCCGCGCCCAAGCAACACGTCCCACCCCCAGCAGTGTGGAAGCCCCCCTGGCCGGCGGTGGTCTCCCTGCGCCCGGGCCCCCCGGGACTGAGCGGGACAGTGGGCAATGAACACAGGCCCGCGGGGTCCAGGGCTAAGATCCGGGAGGCTGGCGACGGGGTGAGGCCCGCCTGAGAAGAAACAGATAGAGAAGGGGAGGGGAGGCCGGGCGCAGAGGGGTGGGGAGACGGCGAAGGACGAGAAACGGGGCGGGGGGAGTGGGGGCGGCCGCGGTCGGACCGCAGAGCGAACTTGGGGGAGGCGGCAGCGGGTGGAGAGAGGGGGCGATGGAGCGATCGGGGGAGCGGGCTGGGGACAGGCCGCGGGAGGGAGAAGGCTCCCGCGAGCAGACCCCGCCGAGCAGGCGGCGGCCGCAGCCGGCCTCCCGGAGAGCCAGCCGGGGCCTGCAGGCGAGTGCGGCGGCTCTCAGCCTCCTTCCCAACTCGTGGCCTCTGCCTGACCTCGAGGATCGGGTGTAGACGCCCGTCTTTGTGGAGAGCGGTGCCCCTAACCGAGCGCCAGGGGGCCGTTCCGCGCCGGGCCCTTGCGCTCCGGAGCTCCTCCCGGCTGACGCTTCCCAGGCTCCGGGCTGGCCCTCGAGAGGGAGCGAACGGCCGGCCCTGGCGCTGGCGAGCACCGAGACGAGGTACCAGCACGGGCCCGGGAGCCGGCGCCTGCTGCTGCTGCTGCAGGCCGGCTCTCGGTGACGGGGACGTGGGGAGGGGAGACCGCCGCGGGCTTCCTCTGCAGGGCGAGAGCGGAGAGCCCCGCGGCGGGGGTCCCCGAGAGAGAGCCCGGGACTCCCCGGGGCTGTTAGGCTAGGGCACCCCGGCGCGCTGCGGGGCCGGTCCGGACTCGGCGGCCCGCGCGGGACGGCCGCACTCGCCTCCTCCAGGGCCGGCGCGGCTCTCGGCGCCCGCAACCCCGCGCGCGTCCCCAAGGGGCGCTGCGCCCTCCCCGCCGACACCGGCTCGGCGCTGCCCCCCTCTCCCCACACCTCGGGCCAGCACCGCCCGGCCTCCCCTCCCGCCCTCCCTCTTCTCCTCTGCCCTCCTTCCCCTTCCCCTCCCCTCCCGGCGAGGGGCGGGAGGGGGCGTGGCGGGCCCGGGGTTTGTGTGGCTGGGACCCGGCTCCTCGCACTCGGAGTCCGCCCGAGGAGCCGGGCCCCGGCCGCTGTCCAGCCGCTCCGAGTCCTTAGCGCCCGGTGCTGCCGCCGTCGCCGTCGCCTCTGTCGGGGGCGGGGGAGACGCAGCCGCAGGCTCGCCATGGATACCCCCAGGGTCCTGCTCTCGGCCGTCTTCCTCATCACTTTCCTCTGGGATTTGCCGGGTTTCCAGCAGGCTTCTATCGCCTCCACGTCGTCGTCCGCCGAGCTCGGCTCCACCAAGGGCGTCCGGGGCCGCAAGGAAGGGAAGATGCCTCGGGCGCCGCGAGAGAATTCCACGGCCCGGACGCGCCCGGAGCGCGAGGAGCCGCGGCCCGAAGACGAGCCCCAGCGGCGGCGAGAGCAAGAGCCGTCCGGCAGGGGTCCGCGCGTGGTGCCCCACGAGTACATGCTGTCAATCTACAGGACTTACTCCATCGCCGAGAAGCTGGGCATCAACGCTAGCTTTTTCCAGTCTTCCAAGTCGGCCAACACCATCACCAGCTTTGTAGACAGGGGACACGGTAAGTGGTGAAGTAGGCGCAGGCCCCCTCCCGCTGCAGCTCGGCGGCCGCGCGCTGCTCCGGCTGGAGGAGGCTGCGGGGTGTCAGTCGCCTTTCCGCCCGGCACACCTACCTCCCCTTTGCTCGCTTTCAAAATTGTTTTACTAAAACCCGGATTAAATTTTCCAGTGTAGATGCAGATTTTTATTCCAGCCTGCAACCCTCTCTTCCTCGCTCCGGTCTGTCCCCTCTCCTTTCCATCTCGCTCTTGTCTTACGCAGAGGGCTGCGGGGTGGCCGCTCCGCCGGCAATCAGAGGAGAGCACTTGGGGCGGCTGGTAGATGACCTGGACAGGAGTGGGGTCGGGGCGGGGATTGCGGGAATCCGCATTTCGGGGTCCGGGGTTCTGCGAGGATGCCGGGTGCAAGGTTGGAGCTGCACGGGCCAACAGGGCGGGCCCAGGGGTGGGCCTTGGGAAAGCTGGTAACTCCAGCCGGCCCCTCGAGTCCCGCCTCCGAGGAGCGACTCCGCCGGCAGCGTCCGGCAGTGCCTGGCTCGGGAGCCCAGTGTGGGATCCTCAGCCTGGCCACAGCTAAGCACCCTCAGGCCTTTTTATTTACTTATTATTATTGTTGTTGTTGTTGTTCCCCCTGCCCTCTCTCCACCCACACCCCCCAGTGTTGCGCTCCCTGCGGCTCCGAGGCCACAGCCCGAGTCATTTGGGCAGAGGCAGCCGTAGCAAGTGTCGGGACGGGCCGGAGAAAGGGACTGCTGGGTTTTGTGCGTGCTTCAGTCTCAAAGGTGCGTGGATATATGCCCATGCACCTTCTTAAACAGGCAGCGCTTCTCTGTTTGCTTCTACCATCTGCTCCTGCTTCACCCCTGGTCCGGGAGCCGGTGCCTGGGTGGGACGTATTTGCGGAGGCCCCTGGCCCCTTCCTTCTCGCCGCGAGCGTGGGTGCATGGCGTGGTCTTAGCCCTCCAGGAAACCTCGCTCTCCCGGATCTCAGAAGCTGGAGAGGGTATGGCAGGCGGTAGAAACTCAGTTCCTCCAGAAGAGGGTCAGTAATAGGAAGGCCTCAGGAAAGAAAAGGAAAGGGAGTTAGGAGGAGGAGAGGAGCGGCGACGAAGCTGGAGATTTAGGCAGCTACTTGCTCTCTATCCTCTTAGGCTCGGCTCGCGCGCGCGCGACCTTGGCGGGTTTGCAGCCTCCCTCTTCTAGGCCGGTAGGAGCGGAGTCAGCCGGGAGTCTACGAGCTGCCCCACCTACCACCTTTGCTGACCGTGTTGGCAGGCTAACGATCTGCCCAGTAGCCATGGGCTCTCCCAGGTCCTGGCCTCTACTTTTCCAGTGGCCTTCCTGGAACGCGAGGTTGGCGTCCAGGTTGCGCCGGTTGCCGCCGCCGCCCGAGGTGAACGAGGTGGGGAGCTGCTGAATGCGGGGAGAGGGGCGGGAAGCAAAATCCATGCCGAGCATTCCTTGATGATTTTAGGACCACCGAAATCACCTTGGCCAAGAAATGTGGTTTCTAGGTCCACCCCCACCCCTGTCCGTGTCCGTGCCCGCCGCGCAGCTCGCCAACTCCTTACCCCGGCCCCTGCGGGGCTAAGGTCGCGCTCTCTAAGCCTTCTGTTAATCGTCTGCCTCCTTTACTACCCTCACGGGAGCAGAGGCTCCTAAAATCTCCTAGAAAACGGTTAGAGACTCCTTCCCAAGAGAAAAAAAAAAAAAAAAAAAAAAAAACAGCGGTTTAGGCAGGCTGGTAGTGGGGCGTTCATTTTCCTTGCCCCGGAGGAAAGTGGTAGGACTTTCTAACTTCCTCCACCCCTCCCGCCCTCAGCGCCCAGCAGGCACCCCCATACTGGTTCTTGGTGCCCTGCGACTTTGGTACAGGGCCAAGGGAACTTTGGGGATCTGGCGTAAAACTGCTCACCTCGCTGGCCCTACCACCCCTCCTCCCTACCCCCTACCCCCGCACCACTCTGCGAGTCGAGACTCGGAGCGCGTGAGGTAGAGCAGGGATTGGCAGTGAGCCCCATTTGCTGCTGTTGCTGCAGGTGATGGTGGTTGTGGGCATCTCTGTTCGCGGGCCAAGATCTCCAGGCCAGGAGGACCGAGATCCGGCTTCAGCCCCAGAATGCGGTCCAGGGCTGGGATTGCTAGCAAGTCACAGCCGAGGAGATGCGGTGCTACCACCACCTGCACCAAGGTCTCCAAGGCCAGGTCTCCTCCACCCCTCTCCCCTACCCCCGTGCCCGGATTCCCAGAGGTCTTGAAGAAAAGCTACTTGTGCTTTGCGAAGGCGCTGCGGCTCGGGGCACGACGCCGCCGAGGGGGCAAAGCAGTGCGGGGCGGCGGGCGGGAGGGGCGCGCAGAGCGGCCTGGGCGGAGGGGGGTGCAGGGAGGTTACTTTGCTGGCTGCAGCCCCAGCTTGATAAAGGGAAAGCCTCACTTTCCCTCTCACTGATTTTGATTTGATGTGTCACCGGCGGTGACCTCGGGCTGGACCTTCCGGGGCTTGCTTAGCATCGGGCCCCTCATTGGAGTGTTTCAACTCAGCGATCTAATTGAAGGCTCATGTCATAACACATCAAACGGTGTCTAGTCTCCCGTGATGGAAGGGACCCGCTAGCCGCGCATCCCCAGCTCCTGATGAGAATTTCCGCCCCTCTCACGTGGGGGCCGTTAGCAGCGCCAAGCGCCCCCCCTTCAGTAACCCTTCCCCCACCCCTCCAATCCCTTGTAGCTGAGGCTAAGAGGAAAGAGAAGGAACCGACAGCCTAGGCTGGCCCCATTTGGCTAACTTGGCGTCCTGCTTTGGAGATGTTCAAATCGCCCAGGAGAGTGCAGGCTTGGCTCTGAGTTGCTGGGCGGGGTAGGGAGAGGGAGGGAAGGGGTCCCTCAGAGGGAGGAGCAAAGAAAGATTCTCCAGTAGCAAGTGATTGACGTCTAGGGTTCCTAAGCCGCTTTGCCTTCCTTTCCAAAGATTGCTCTGAAGTCCAGGGCTGAGAGTGAGGACACTCCAAATGAATGGAAAGCTGCGCAGCTCTGCCCTACCCCACTCCTTGACGCTTCCGCACGCCGTCCTGGAGGAGAACGCTTGCATTTCTTTGTGCCTCTTTTCATTCACTTTGCTCTGTGGGCACCTAGGAGGCCCAAACTACAGTCTGTGCTGCAGTCGGCTACCCGATTAACTTCATTCTCGCAAGAGTTGCTCAAGAGTGCTGTAGTCACCTGCTTCTAAAGAAAATAGGTTAAGCAAATTCTCACAAGGTCACACAGCTATGAGGGAGAGATGACACATCACTCCAGGTCCCACGTGCTTCTCTAGGGCATTGGATGGGTGAGGTAAGGGGCGAGGCCGTTTCTAAAGGATGGTAGCAAGAAACAAAGTCAGAACAAAGAACAAGGTCTGATATCTTCCTTAGTCTCTCAAGACGCAGTGAACAGTTCAAGTGCAAGGCTGCAGTTCAGAGTCTGCATGTGTACTATGGCTTGCTTCCTGCTCGACTCATTTCACTGGAGCACAAACCATTTTATCTCCCATCCTTGCAGATGCCTCCCCTATGCCATTTTAAGATGGTGCTAGATCCATCAGAGGAAGTGTGTGCAGGTGTGTATTGTCGCCGTCATTGGGCCAGAGTGGTCCAGGCTGCATATAGTGAAATTAGATTTAGCTCAAAAAATTCTGTTTAGAAGGGCACTAGAACTGGGGCCCTGCACCCCCAGCCTGGAGATCCAGGAAAGGGAGATAGAACGTCTCTGAATTCTGAGTTCTCTCTCTGAGTTCTCTCTCCCTCTTTTGTTATTTTTTCAATAGTGCTCTAGGAAAGGAGGCAGTAAGGAGCAGATAAAAACCAAAACGAGATGGGAGCGTCCTTCAGAGACCGGGCGCCCTAGAAACGACTCTGGGGGTAGCTTGCCCTACTTGTTTGTTGGCTTCTCTGATTACCTTAGACTGGCCATTGCTGTGGGGTAGGGCAGGGACCTTGCGGGAGGCAGCCCGCGGAGGGGAGCGCGCTGGAATAGCCGCAGAGTTCCCTTGCGGTTGAAATCTGGAACGTCGCGTTTATGCAAGGCAGCAGGTTTCTCGGTGGACCTGGGCGCAGAGTGGGGTAATAAACGCAGCAACGCTCTTGCCCGGCTCCTGTTGTCGTTGGCAAACGGAAAATGAAATATAAGCAAGGAAGTATTTTAATGGGGACGGAGGGAATTCACAACTGTTAATTATTTGGTGACCTTGTATTCGATTTGTTTGAGTCCCTTATAAAAACACTAATTCAGACCAGACGGCCAAGTGAGGAAGCCCGGCAGAAGGTTCCAATCTAGGCTTTATTTCCCCGGAAAGAGGGGGACAGTTTTGGAAAAAGGCTGCTTCAGCCGTCGAGTGTGCGTCTGCGAGGCGCGTAGGCGTGCCCGCCGGCGCGGGATTTGCACCGCACTCCAGGTTCTCGAGACTCCGCCAGCCGCGGCGAGCGGAGGAGGATCCCCGCGAAGGTCCTGATTGGAAATTTGCTCTGCTTTTCTAGTTGGGACGTAGAAGACATCTTCAAGGGCACAAACCAACCCCTTTCCCATTGGTTTCTTAAATACCGGGTGGTGCCATCCCCATCGCTACGGTGTTAGGGGACGCCATACAGAGAAAAGTAACACACACACACACACACACACACACACACACACACACACACACACACACGTTTTCTGCAACGAGAGTGGCAAAATAGTTTCCTTGGCCAAACCGACTCACCGGAGGAGGAAGCTGAGCGCCTTCTTCCGCACCAGAGGGTCTCAGGAGTTGCACCTTGCCGTTGCTGGGTGCAGCGGAAAGGGATCGGAAAAAACGTGCCCAAACCTCCTGGAGGTTTCCATCATAAAGGGGCGGGGGAGGGGGTAGGCAGGGAGATTTATCGAAGTCGCAAACTGCGACAGGCCTTAGGAATCCCTCCCCAGCTTTCAAACTGAATCTAGTTCCCCCTTCGGATCAGACGAGGAGAAGCATCGGGAACCCAGCCGGGCT